GAATTGCACAGCAGTCAATTCTCTCCGTCTGGAGGAGTGCAAGCCGAGACGAGTCCCGTCAAGACCCTCCAGAGTGATGCTGATGAGCTCAGCCAATCTCGCCAAGCACAAACGGAGAGTCGCCACGCGTGTGAGCTCCCTCTGCGTGCTGCAGCCTCTCCCGCCTCGGCCCGCGTCTTCATTCAGACGCCTCGTCGGTCAGGAGCGCTTTGGTCTCTAGTGGCGATGGTAGTGGTGGTGGTGGTGATGATGATGGTTCTGATTGTAATAATGGTGGTGGTGACGATGGTTCTGCTAGTATTGGTTGTGGTGGTTATGGCGACGATGGTGGTGATGATGATGATGAAGGTAGTGGCGGTGATGGTAGTGATGATCATCATCACACGTGGTAATTTTCGTCCACTCACAGTCATAATTTCGTTGAATTATTTCGTCAATAATTTCCTGAACGTAATTAACACTGGAAGGGGGCTGAGATTGGTGGGGGGGGGGGGGGTAATGGGGGGGGGTGTAACAGGTGAGGGCACGGACCCCCCCTACCCACACCTCTACGTGGGCCCCAATCGACCACACGAGTCCTGGTGGACAACGTCCCGTGACTTGACAGAGCGTCGAGGTCTCCCTGAGCTCCACGTGCACCCCTCTGCACGGTCACTTGAAGTGCATGGCCCTAGGACCACCACCGCCACTTCCAGCATCATCGGCAGCAGCACTCGATCACAGCTCACGTCGTCGCTTCATAATCACCGCTTGCCAAGTCGCTATCCTCTCCACCGCGAGACGGTCTCTCTCCCGAGCTGCGGAGGAGACATCTGAAAGGCACTAGGAGTCAGATTCGGTAGCGAGGGATTTAACTCGGATCGCTGTTGGTTGTCTGTGGAATCTTTCACCATAATTCCACCGGTTTTTTTTCGAACAAATTCCTCTGCCTCTTCTCAGATTGATCGACAAATGTTCAGCCGTCTCCAATGTGTTTTTCTTTTAAGTTCCCAAAAAACGTTGCCTCTAGAACGATCTGTGGGGTTTCTTCCCAGCGCGTTCCACGGGGTCCAGTAGATGTGTGGTTCGCTCCAGACTGCTAAGAGGCTTTCTCATTTCTGGCAAAACAGGAGGGGTTTAGATGTTCAAACACCAAATATACACCCCGATCACAAGGCATCATCAAGTCTGCATTAACCACACGTGGCCGTGGTAAAACATGCAAACAAACGTGCTTTGACAATGTGCGCAAACTGATGGCCCTACACCGGGGACAGCCCTCCTCTGTGCCTCGTCTCGCCACAGAACAGCGCCACATGGAGAGACAATGGAGAAGTCCAAAGCCCCAACAGCTCGGGGTTGATCATCTGAATTCCTGCTCTATTACTGTCCAAATGGGTACAGCCTATTGTTTTCCATCATTTATATACCGGCAAAAAGACTCGCACAGATATGCTATGGATTGTCTGAAGACTCTCTCTCTCTAAGTGTCTCTGGCTAAGCCACTCACCCTCATGTCACCGTTTCTAAATGTAACGCAACCAATGAAAACGAACGATGTCAAACTCGTCTGAAACTTTGGCTTTAAACGTGGCCCAGTGCAAACCCCCCCCCCCCGTCCGGACGCGCACGCCTTGATGTGATTATCACAATGATCGTGTTTGGCTCTTGTCATTTGCGCCATGACGAGTCTCTCTTTGTTCACATTGTTCAGAGTTTAACTTCGACAGTTCGCCATTTGCTAAAGATTTGTTCCCAACGCGCTCTCCCCAGGGTTTCTAAATAAAATTAACGGATCGATTAACTTACGAATACATTAATCGTTTAGGGCGACCTGTGACCGCCAGGCAGAGTGCACAATGATGGGCCCTAGAGGATGGGCGGTGTAGGGGAAGAGGGTGGTAGTGGTGGCGGTGTGGCTTTGTGGGCTGAGGTGATGCACATCACACCAGAAAGAACACAACACACAACCCCAGACAATCACACCACACACACAGCACGCAGAGAAGCACACCGCACCAAACACCACGGGACACTCAAGCGCACACCGCACTACGCGTTACACAGCCACACAATGGAGCACGCCACGCCAGACAAAAGCACACCATACGAGACAGCACACCGTGACACAGCACACCTTATATACTCAAGAGAAAATAGCAGCCACCATTACACAACACACACCACCAACCACACGACACACACACGACACACACGTCACACACACACACACGTCACACACACGTCACACACACCAATCGTCTCCATGCAGCGACGAGGTGAGAAGTCGATGCACGGCAGCATCCGCAGCTCGCCCCGGAGCATCTCAACGCCGCCACTCCTGGGCGGCCACCACCACAACGGGGCCACCACCACCACTACCACCACCACCACCACCACGGGGCCACCACTACCACCACGGAGCCACCACCACCACTACCACCACCACTACCACCAGCACCACAACGGGGCCACCACCACCACCACCACGGGGCCACCACTGCCACCACTACCACCACGGGGCCACCACCACTACCACCACCACAACAGGGCCACCACCACTACCACCACCACAACGGGGCCATCACCACAACGGGGCCACCACCACAACGGGACCACCACCACCGCCACTACCACCACCACCACCACCACAACGGGGCCACCACCACAACGGGACCACCACCACAACGGGACCACCACCACCGCCACTACCACCACAACGGGGCCACCACCACCACAACGGGGCCACCACCACCACAACGGGGCCACCACCACCACTACCACCACAACGGGGCCACCACCTCAACGGGGCCACCACCACCACTACCACCACCACCACAACGGGGCCACCACCACAACGGGGCCATCACCACCGCCACGGGGCCACCACCACCACGGGGCCCTCCTCCACGCGTGCCCCAACCCCACAGCCGCGTCTCCGCGTCCATCCACCGCTCCTACCTAGCCCAGGCCCCCGCCTCGAGCCCCGACACGCGTGTCACGACCGTGCAACACAGAGGCGTGGGACGCCTATTGGTACTCTGGCTCCTGCAGGACCTCGCCATGGTCTATCCCGCCGCTGGCCTCATCGTCATCATCATGTGCACTTTGAGGACGTCGCGACACCGCGCTGGCAAAGCCAGGGGTGGATTGGGAGATATCGTGCTCTCACCCAAGGGTGTGTGGAGTGGGCAGCGTGGTGAGGCAGTTCTCTGTGAACCACATCAGCCAGTGGTGGTGGAACCAGGTCCCATGACGAGTTGGTCGAGGGACAGGAATTGTATGACCTCCTTCCGAACCTGGGGACCTCCTCATATCTTGCATCTTCTGGAGCTGAGGACCTACTCCCCCTATCTCTCATTTCATGGACACTGGGATCTGAAGTCCCACTTCTTCACATCTCCTGGATTTCAGGACCTTAGGATCTCAGGGCAGCGGAATCCTAGGATGTACTTTTCATCTCCTAGCCCACTGGGACCCAAAGTAGCCCCACGTCCCACTCCCAGCCTCGCCACCTTAAGTGAATAGTCTACTACTGCCCTGCTAAAATAACCACGGCGACTTAAACAAATACTATGACGAATAACAATAATCATGATTCTCATCATCATTGACATAACAAAAAATAATGATGCGACTTGCTGTGGCAACATCACTATCATCAACATCACCGCCACCATCACCACCGCCATCATCACAGCCGTCGTTACCACCATCATCATAATCACCACTGCCGCCATCATCACCGCAAGTTACTGTAAAGCTCATAAGATTGCCAGCACGGGATACACCCCGCGAATACAATACTGATGTCATTCCCAAGGAGAGACAAAGACGGAGGCCACTAAGCCCACACAGCACACAGCTCGCAGCCAATAAACATCGACGTCAACAATAGTATAAACAACGACATCAACAGTCATAGTAATAGTAGTAGTTATAGTTAATTGCAGATTCCCATAATTCTAAAAAATAATAACTCAAGAAGCTTTGCCGTGAAACGAACAATAATAATCACCATCATCAACATTGTCACCACGATCATATTATATTCGCCATCGTGATCATCATCATCATCATCTCCGTGGCTACAGTACTTTCCAAAACTGAGGTGCACAACGCGAGCGATGGCGACGGTAACCATGGGGACCGGAGCGAGTGCGGTCCACGTGGTTACCACGGGGAGGGTGGAGGAGGGGATGGGAGCATTGGGGCGACTTCAACAGCAGGCAACAGCAGCAGGCAACAGCAGCTGGCAAGAGCAGCAGGCAACAGCAGCAGGCAACAGCAGCAGGCAGCACAAAACACATCATCACTGCATACGCCCGGCAGCCAATTGAACGCAACTTGCGGTTTGCAGAGTGCACACACTCACACAAAGATCCCCCATATAGCCTCCTTAACAGACTGTAGGGGCAAGTGCTGTTAGCGAGCACCTATGAAGGCCGGCACGGCAAACGAGGGGGTGGGTGGCCAGCACCACGCTCGACCGCCTTTGTCTCCCCCCAGTGGCGATGTTTACACATCGCACCAGGTACTCATTTAAGGCTGAGTCGACCTAGGGGAGGAGGCCCAGGACCGGTTCAGAGAATCGTCACCGGTGGTGAGCGTCAGCGGGAATCGAACTCAGGTCGCCGGGTTCGTAGTGCAGTGCGCTAACCGCTACACTATCGTTACCCGCACACACGCACGCACTCCGCAGTTGAGTAGCAAGCACCAGTGCCACAATACCAACCCTCACACCGCCCCAAATGGCGCGAGTTCTCATCCCACCACCACCACCACCGCCGCCGCTGCCGCCGCCGCCGCCACCACCACCACCATCATCATCAGGCATGTAAGAATTCAAGCTCATCCTGTTGTGGTTCGTGACCGATTTAGTCATTGATCACATTTCATAATCGATTCGATGATCGATCACATGAACGCCGTCAACGTCCTGCCTGCGCCTTGTTCGCTCCGCGTGTGCCTAGCTCGTCCTGTCCGCTTCGCACGCCCGTTTCACGCCTTCCATCATTCTACAGTTTCATTTCATTACAATGTCATTGGCATATAATTTGCATGTGTCCTGTATAGTCGATAGCATGATTCCACGCAAGTATCAATTAACTAGCTCATTCAATGAATTGTTACATGCCTAATTATCGTCATCACCAACACCACCACCATCATCATCATCACTAAGTCTACCTCCCTTGTTAATAGCCTGTTACCCTCCCACATACATAAGCTGCAGTATTCCATTGCTTCGTATTATATCTCTTCGTAAATAAGATTATCAATATTATAATTAATATCATCAATATTAAATCTTTTCCATTTTGTACAAAATAAACTGTGAACTCTGCACCCTGCAGCCCGAGAGGGCGCGATTGTCAGCGCGTGATGCGAGGAGCACTGGTCAACAACAACAACCACCAGTACCACCAACAACAACCACCAACGACAACAACAACAACCACCTTCCCCCCAGCCTCACCTCCCTCTCCCCACCAGCTTCTCGGGGGTGGATCTTAGGAGAACCACAACTTGTGAACCGGTAGATATTCACCAGGCACCACTCACTGCGTGCTGTGATTGCTTTAGAGGGCCCTCTGTAAAGAGATTTCGGGACTGCCCCCACCCCCCGCTCCGCACCTCCCTTTTTCGAGTGACCAACGAGTGTCAGGCGCGTCACCAAGACGGACTGGTTGTGGATCACGCCGCTTTAACCTATAAGTGGTGAGTTCAACTCCTGGTTGGGTGGGCGGGGAGTTGAATCATCATCTACCCTCCCTCCCGATGTGGCCTATAAACTAAGGACCAGCTCATGGGGGGGAGTAAACAGTGGTTGTCTTACGGATAGACGCGTCCCCGTTCTAGGAATGTGTAGTTTCCACCGGCGGGTCGTGCGAGAGCAGGGAGAGAGTTTGCTGGGAGTTGAGATTCACGCCGGGGGGGGGGGGGGGGGGGACCAAACGAGTGAGACTCGGCGCTACGGAGATTCCGTTGGCGCCGTCGCCGGCGGTGACCGAGATCTAGGATCACGGGGAAAGTTTCCACCGCAAACGCACGGACGGAGGAGTGACAGCGGCCAACGGCGCCAGGAGCCTGCCCCACTCCCACGGCCCGATTCCTACACCGATGGAGTCCTCCACACGGACACCCCGGCTCGCTCCGTCACCCCCATGGGGTCACGCGGGGTCACGCTCCTATGGGAACATCGCCACCCCCCTTCTCATCCTCCTCCTCCACCTGTCTCACCTTCCGCCAGAATCGCAGCGACGATCGTGAGAAGGAGCAGATGGGGGAGGAGGTGGGGGCCCACGGGGAGAGGGGCGGGGGCTTCTGGGGGATGGTTGAGACTGCCCGTAGGAGGAACTGCCCTCTAGTAAAATATAAGGCACTTTGACATACATCTCACGAGAAACAATCAACTCTTCCACCACCACCACCACCTCCATCGCTCGGTACATCAACAACAGCAGCAGTGGCCCATCCCAGTAAACATGCCAATGTTGGCCCAACGTTAGCCCAACGTTGGCTCAATGCTGGCATGTGGTTGGAACATTTGGCCCAACGTTGGAACAACATTGACCCAACGTTGACATGTGTTTGGAACATTTGGCCCAACGTTGGAACAACATTGGCCCAACGTTGACATGTGTTTGGAACATTTGGCCCAACGTTGGAACAACATTGGCCCAACGTTGACATGTGTTTGGAACATTTGGCCCAACGTTGGAACAACATTGGCCCAACGTTGACATGTGTTTGGAACATTTGGCCCAACGTTGGAACATTGGCCCAACGTTGACATGTGTTTGGAATCGTTGGCCCAACTTTGGGTCAACGTTGGGCTAGCAATGTTCCACGTGTTACTGGGATATTCGCTCGTGCTCCTCTATGTCGTTGTTGTTGTCTGCTGCTGCTGCTGCTGTTGACGCAGTGTGGGTTCATGGAGCGTCCCAAATTCTCTGTTTTACCAAAAAAGCGTCGCCACCCCCACCGCCACCGTCGCCGCTCCGCTGTCCGAGTTACAAAAATACTGTACAGGGTAAGTGTCGTATCAAAACTGCCGGAGCGCGTGTTGGATTTAGAAGCTTATGCGATCATATCGTATATATATTTACGTATATATATATTTTTTATATTATAGTGCCGCACACACAAACTCTATCGTATACTTTTCTTAAAGCAAATACATTGAATTTTAGAATATATAATTTTGTTAAGATACATTCATTGTATGACAGCTGGCTTGAAGGGACCTAATGAAATCATGCCAACGGTTTACATCATGAAATACTTAAGCTCTCCTTCAGCCCGTCCATATAAATACCCCGACTGCTCAGACATAACCAACTTGCCCGCGTTCAAAAACGAAAAGGGGAAGCAATCATCGATTAAAATCAAGAACCTCTTGCACGCGTTCGTTAAAAATTGATCACGTCCATAGCGCGGTGGAGTTCTAACCCCACCCAGTGCTGATTATTATTATAATTACTATTACAGTTAAGCGCAAAAAGCCAGACTCTCCGACCGATCGCTGCACCAACTTCTCCACCCCACCGTCCCCCGTCCCCCCCACCTCCCACACCATGATCCTGAAACTTCCAAGCGAAAATAAAACAAGAAAATCGCGACGGTCAACGGCCGATGGACGTGAAACTGAAATGTGTACAGTGCCCAATGCACGCACCACCAGCACCGCGATCGCAAACCGCTCTCTCGCTCGCTCCCTCTCTCTCTCTTTCGCTTGCTCTCTCTTGAGAGTCCACGGACCCAGAGCAGGAATCGAACTCGTTCAAGCCTAGCCTGGCGTCTTGCTGACGAGGCACCGAACGCCGGAAAACGGCCCAGGCATTTCGCTCGCGTTGAACCGACGCCGCTGAAATTACACGCTCTGAGCCAACGGAGTCCCTTCCCTCCGCCCGTCCGTTCCCTCCTCCTTCAAAACGGTCCTTCATCACCTTTTGCCCTCTTTTCTTCTTCGTTTCATCGCCCTCCTTCCTTCGACGCTCCCCCCGTCCCCTCCTTTCCTTCCTTCCCCATCGGCACGTAACAACGTAAATAACAATCGAGCTGTGTTCTGGAAACACCTGGCAACCCACAAACTCTCGCTGCGCGGAGAGGGTCCGGATTTAGCAGTTTGCACAAACGATGCTAAATAAGTTAAAAGTATAATAATAATGATTATTATTGTTACGAAGTGGATGAAGCAAGCGCATTATTAAGTGGGGATACGAAACGACAATCGAGGGTGGATTGTAGATTTTAGTCATGAAGCCAGCATGGATGCGCTTAAAATATACATGGGTAAATATGAGTTTGATTCCTGCTCATACGCCATCAACACCATTGAAGATTATTTCAACCGGTCCCGGGCCTGCCCCAGTATCTGGTGCGGTGTGTAGTAAACATCGCCACAGGGAGCCAAAGGTAGCCGGGCGTGGTGCTGGCCACTCAACCCCTCCTTTATCATACCGACCTTCACAGGTGCTCGCTAACAGGACTTGCCCCAACAGTCAGTCTTTATTTTTGGGGGATGTCTAAGTGTTTCCAGGACGTATCTCATTGTGGCAATTCATGGTCTCGGTTTGATTCAAAGATAAATTATTTTGTTTAACATCGTGGTGAATGTAGCGGCCTCTAGTGGCTGCAGGGATCAAATTAACCCAACTCACACGGCGTATGTTGCTGCACGCATGGTTGCACGTGTTTGCCTTGACCGTGCGAATCAACTGTAACCAGGACTTAATTCCTCGCTGAACATTTTGCGAGAGCTATACCGGAAGTGGTATGCCTGGTGCACAATGGGTGGAGGCCGGGCCAGGCCCGGCTTAGTCAAGCCCTGGTGACGACCAATGAACTGATCATTTGTTACATGCCTACTCCTTCCCCTCCATTCCTCTCAATCCCTGTGTTCATCCTTCACTCCACATCTCCTCTCTTTCCCAATCTCTCCATCTCGTGCCCTCTTCTTCCATTTCTCTCGCTCCTCTCTATTTCTCTCTCTCTCTATCTCCTTCTCTTTCTCCATCTGTCCATCTCTCTCCTCCTCCCATCACTCACTCCATCAACCCTTTCCATACCACTCCATCCTCCACCTATCCATACCTTGTATATATCTATTTTCTCTCCATCTCCACCCTCTTCTCTCAGATCAGATCAGCAGGTACTGTGCGACGCTCTGCTGCAGCACAGGGAAGCCTGGGTAGAGGCCTAGTCCTGTGCCGGGGTTGGAGCCTGCTGCCGCGGTTGCGTGGAGGGTGAGGTATGGCTGGCAGCGACCGCCCCCAAACACGGGTGGCTGCTGCTGCTGCGGCTGCTGCTGCGGCTGCTGCTGCGGCTGCTGCTGCGGCTGCTGGTGCGCGGCACCGTAAGGCACGAAGGGTCCGGGCGACGGGGGGAGGTACCTGGCGGCCAGGCCTAGGCCGAGCGCGTGCTGCGAGTAGGCCGCCGCGTAGGCCTGCCCACAGGCCGCGCTGGGCGCCGCCAGGAAACGGGGTAGGCCCGACGAGGCCTGGTAAAGATACGGCACGGGGCCCTGCATGGGGTACACACGCTGATGCTGATGATGCTGCTGCTGATGATGGTGTTGCTGCTGATGATGATGCTGCTGCTGTTGATGATGCTGCTGCTGTTGATGATGTTGATGATGGTGCTGGTGGCACGGCGGCTGGGCGAACGGTATCGGGCCTGGCGGAGCCTGGGCGTAGCCGCCGGTCGCCGTGGTCACCAGCGAGTTGTACCAGCACGCCGAGTGAGACCAGTTCCCGTTGGGCTCGGCGGGGAGGTGGGCCTGAGGGTCGGGGACAGGATCAGGGAGCGGGGTTAAGGTAGTGGGGTCAGGGGGAATAGACGATGACAGTTACATTGCTGTGCACAGATATTGCCCTGGGTGTCGGCGGTGAATTGGTCAGGGCGGGTGTGTGACGTTGTGCTATATCTGTGTGATGGATACAGACCTGACTGTAGGTATTTGCATGCTGCTGCTGTTGATGTTGCTGATGTTGCTGATGATGCTGATGCTGCTGATGCTGCTGCTGTTGCTGATGCAGCTGATGCTGATGTTGCTGATGGTGCTGTCTCGGCTGGCCGCGATATCCCAGAGCGCCGTAGGAGGAGGTCACGTGACCACCGGTCGTCACGGTGACCACGCGGTCACGCCGCGAGCCTGCGGGGGTGGGCCGCGCGCATGCTGTCACCTGTGTTCTATCCACTGCTGGGTACAAATCTTCACCCACCCTCGAAGCCATCGCCATCTCCCAATGGTCACACGACGATCAACCCAGCCCCCACGCAATGCGGCAATAAAATTCGTCGCTCCAACTCCGCCCTGGAAGTCCCGTCTCTCGGGCGGGCGTTCCTCCTTCCCTCTTTTGGCGGCCGCACTGCCGTTAGTCTCGACCGTCGGCCGTCGCTTCCCCTTCTAGCCGTGCCGTGTCCCGCCCCGGCCCTGCTCGCTCCCGTCGGTACCGTGTCGCCGTGGCGCGTGTGAGACCGACTCGATCGTTTCGTGTGATTCGACCGAAGTAGATGATGGTGACCGACACACACGAGTGTTGGCTCGAGCAAGCTCCTGGGAGCAAAACGTCGGACATCGTGCAGAAACAGCGCGAAACTGCACGACCCGCACACAAGCGGATCATTGCACGCTCGTGTGTGCCATGCACATGTGTGCCATGTACATGTGTGCCATGCGTGTGTGCCACGTGCGTGTGCGTGCCATGCGTGTGTGCCATGCGTGTGTGCCATGCGTGTGTGCCATGCGTGTGTGCCATGCGTGTGTGCCATGCGTGTGTGCCATGCGTGTGTGCCATGCGTGTGTCCCATGTGCGTGTGTGCCATGCGTGTGTGCCATGCGTGTGTGCCATGCGTGTGTGCCATGCGTGTGTGCCATGCGTGTGTGCGTGTGTGCGTGTGTGCCGCTCTCGACGCTGCTCACCGGGATTCCGGTCTGGGTGGAGTCGCTCCTCTCCGGGTTGCTGCTGCTGCTGCTGGGCGGTGGTGCTGGTGGTGCTGGTGGTGGCGGTAGTGCACTGACTAGCCAGGCTAAAGCTCCCCACCCTGGCCCCGTCACACCGCGTCACAGCACATCACACCGCACCACGCACGTAACACGACGGTTAAAGGGAAGCGAGTATCACGTGACGCATGCGCTTGTGGGTAAAGGTAACTAGTGTCCTGCAGCGAGAGTGATATCTGACTAGGCAAGTCAAATGACGACCCCACGTGGTATAAAGATCCCCCGTACAGCCTTAACAGGCTGTTTATGAACAGTGCTGCTAGCGAGAACCTATGAAGGCTGAGTACGGTATATGAAAGGGGATGGGGTGGCCAGCACCACGCCCGGCCGCCTTTGTCTCCCTCGTTGAGATGTTTACGCATCGCATCAGGTACTCATTTGAGTCGACCTAGGGGAGGCCCAGGACCGGTCAAGATGACGGTCACCGGTGTTGATGGCCATGAGCGGGTGCGGAGCGCTCACCGCTGCACCACCGCTCCCCCCCCGCTCCCCCCCCGCTCCCCCCCTCACCTCGCCCGCTGGCTGCGCCCCTCCGGCCTCTGCGGCGACGCCGCCTCCTCCGGTCCCCTCCGTCTCCGCGGCGACAGCGTCAGCCTCTCCATGCACTGCCGCGGCGACACAGGCGGGGGGGACGGCGGCCCCCCCGCGGGGGCTGGGGCGGGGGCGTCGGCCGGGGGGGCGGGGGGTGCGGGGGGGGCCGGGGGAGGCTGTCGGGGGGACTCGGAGTCGGGGAGGCTGGTGCCCAGGGCGCTGTCCGTGCTGCCCAGCGAGCACGAGGCCTTGCCCACGGCCACGGCGGCGGCGCGGGCGATGCTCTGGCACGCCTCGCACGCCTGCGAGCCCTCGCACCTACAACCACCACCACAACGACCACAACCGCAACCATCACAACCACGACAACGGCAACCATCAACAATAACCACCACAAAAAACATCAAAAACCATCAACAACCACCACAACAACCACAACCACCACAACAACCATCAACAACAACCACAACTACCGCAACAACCATCAACAACGACGTCATCACACCGTGCGCCGCCACACGAAGGGGTGGGTGGCCAGCACCACGCCCGGCTGCCTTTGTCTCCCCAGTTTTGATGTTTTCCCACCGCACCAAGTACTCATTTGAAGCTGAATCGACCTGTTCAGATGATCGTCGCTTTTGTTGGTAGCTGTTAGCGGGAATCGAGCCTGAATGACTGGGTTCGAAGCGCAACACGCTAACCGCTGCACCACCACTCTCCGTACAAGCCCACTCGCTCACACACTAACATACATGCTCACAAACCGTCACGCGCACGCAAATTAATGTAATCCCACCTCTTCACACCCTTGTCTGCCTCTTCCTCCTCTTCCTCCTCCTCCCCTTCATCCTCCGCATCTCCTTCCTCCTCCTCTTCCTCCTCCTCCTCATCTGACGATGCCTGGGAACTGCTCCCCAGCGACAGGAGGCTGGTGGGGGGGCTCGGCGTCGCCATGGTGATGCTGCCGTTGTCAAGGCGATGGGGTCCTGTGGAGGCCCCCTCTCGGTAGGCCACAGAAGTGGCTGTGTGGGGCGGCTGCAAAGAAACGACCCCGGGCTCTTGAGTACAGAGAACGCTCGGAAAATCGGGCGGGCGGCGATTGCAGGAATATCCGACACGTGCCGTGAGAGAAGACGCAAATACATATCAAGATATTATACGGGGGTCGTGCAGAGATGTCAACGCTGTGGGCGTGGAAGCGGTTGCTAGGGATGACCTCATCACTCTCACTGCACCAGCCAATCAGCTGCCAGATAGTCATCGTCGTCATCCATGTTTAAGATGATGACGTTGTTGATGATCACGATGTTGGATGATGAAGATGATATCGATTGACGATAAGGATAATGATGATGACGAGGTTGATGATGGAAATGATGATGACGATGCTGACCCCTGACCTCGGGAGGTGGGGGGCCCGCTGGCCGTGTGGACCCCAGGCTCTTGCTGCTGCTGTTGTTGTTGTGCCAACGGTGGGGGGCCTTGCTGGGGGAGGGGAGGAAGCTGTCACCACGCAGGGGGCCACTCACGTAGCTGGGAGAGGGGTGGGGCGGAGGAGAGCAGAGAAATCACAACACACATAGAGGCAACGCACAGAGATCACAAAGACAAAGATCCCCTGTATAGCCCTTGAACAGACTGTTGGGGCAAGTGCTGTTAGCGAGCACCTATGAAGGCCGGAATGGCACACGAGGTGGTGGGTCTCCAGCAGCCACGACCAATTGAACATTTACACATCATAACAAGTACTCATTTGAGACCTAGAGGAGACCCGGAACCGGTTCAGATAATAGTCACCGATGTTGGCTGTGAGCAGGAATCGAATTCTGGTGGCCAGATTTGTAGCGTAGCGCGCTAACCGCTACACTTCCGCTCCCCAAAGGCACAAGACACACACAGACACACACAGATCACAAACCACACAGAAAGCAATCTGAACAGATGGTGCGGTTAGGCCTCACCTCCTGCCAGGCCGCAGTGGCAGCCCGCTCAAGCCTGGTTGCCATAGTGACGGCTGCACGCAAGATCCCATTGGCTGGGAGGGCAGGGTCATGTGACCAGACGTGGACGGCTGTGGAACGATCCCGTAGTGACCTGCACACAGCTGCAGCTTGCTGCATAAAACAACAAAAACATAAAAACACACGGACACACAAACACTAACTCCAACACACACACACATAAATACAAACATTAACATACGCATAAACAGCATGAACAAAACACTACTACAAACAACAACACAAGCAAACATTTGGCAATGTCGCCAGGGAATCTCGCACGGGAATATCAAACGGGATTATCACGTGGGATTCTTGCACGGGAATCTCGCACGGGAATCTCGCAAGGGAATATCACACAGGAATCTCGCACGGGAATCTCGCAAGGGAATATCACACAGGAATCTCGCACGGGAATCTCGCAAGGGAATCTCGCACGGGAATCTCGCAAGGGAATATCACACGGGAATCTCGCACGGGAATCTCGCACGGGAATATCAAACGGGATTATCACGTGGGATTCTTGCACGGGAATCTCGCACGGGAATATCGCACGGGAATCTCGCAAGGGAATCTCGCAAGGGAATATCACACGGGAATCTCGCACGGGAATCTGGCTCACCCGATGTCGGACTGTGGCTGCCCATGCCAAGTCGCCGAGCCATCGCTGGGCGCCATCCCGCCGGGAATTCCACCGCCCGGAATGCCGTTGGGAATTCCGCCGCCAGGGAGGCCATGGGTGCCGAGGATCCCAGGCATGCGCTGCCAGGTCTGCACGGTCACGACGGGCAAAGGGTGGCCACCCCACGCCTGCGTGGCACACATAGAGACGAAGATAAAGATCCCCTATATAGCCTCAAGAGATTGTTGGGGCAATTGTTGTTAGTGAATTCCTATGAAGGCCAAAACTGCACACCTATGACGCACACACACACAATGTACACACATGGAGATGCACATTCACACACACAAACAAAGACAAACATCTTCCGTATAGCCTTAATAGACTGTTGGGGAAAGGGCTGTTATCGAGCACCTATGAAAGCTGTGAGCAGGAATCGAACTCGGGTCCTTGTGTTCACAGCGCAGCGTGCTAACCACTACACTACCGCTCCCCACACACACAAACGCACACATCAACACGCACACACACACACAGGTGCATACAGAAACACACATACGTATACAGATATGCATATGTACACATGCACAAACTCACACGCGCACACATATTGCCGTGGCAACATACCTGCAGTGGCGGCTGGAAAGGCAGGGGCTGCCCCGGTGGATTCTGGGAAACCACGGGGGCGGGCGCGTACCCAGGATGCTTTGCAATGGACGTCTGCATTGTTCCTGCACAAACAAAAAAAACCCCCAGAAATTCCAAGAATGTATGAATTTAGCAACGAGACGCGTGGCGGTGAGCACTGCCCATGAGCTCACCCGGTGAGCGAGCTCAAGCGATGGCAATCATGCGGCGTCGACGAACGCTCGACCGCCGCGCGACCGTTTCATTTGTTTGGCCGCGTCGGGTTCATAACAACCCAAGTTTAGCCCAGATCGTCACGCCGTGGCCCGACCCAAAGTCGTTTTGCGAATCGTGAACTCTGGTTCCTCGGGAGTTGGGGGAGGACGTGAGTGACGCAGTGGACTGAAGGCGACGGCGGCTCATGGCGACTCAGGGTGGAGGCGGGGAATCCGAGACGAGGTCCCACCATGAGTGGCGGCCGACTGAAGGAGGCGACACGCGAGATCGAGTTTCACTCAAATATTAACCAGCAGGGGAGAGGAGCGGTGGGAAGAGAGGGCGGGGGGACGCTGTTACCTTGGTAACGGGGCGGGCACAGCAGCAGGGGCTGCTGGGAGTAGGGGTCGCGGGGGGTCAGGTACTGCGTCGACCCGATTGGCTGAGGCAGGGCTCCGCCCACGTCGCGGCCGTCCAATGGGGGCGGAGCGCCGTAGCCTCGCCCCCCATAGCCAAGGAGCGCCGCGTCCTGATTGGCCAGCGGGAGGCTCACAGCGGGGTTGGAGGTGAAGCCGCCCACCTGGTGGAGAGAGGGGTAGGGGGGGGTCAGGGCTTGCGAGGTTAGGGGTGAAAGGTCAGGCGTGAAGAGCTGGGTAATGATGATTGCGCTTGATCATCCGCCCTCCTCGTTCTTGCCGGGGCTTCTCGCGGCGCTTCACACGATGTCACGTCTCGTCTCAGCGCAGCACGAAGGGGCACCCCTGGTGGTAGCCATCCCTGTGCAACGCAAGGCGATGCGTTTCCCCCAAGCGAGTGACGTGCCGGTCATTTCCACAATTGGTAAAGTTGGATCCCCGGCATCGGGACACAGCGACATGCTCGCTTAAAATGAAACCAAACTATGTTTATTTGACCAGGTAAAGCCCACTGAGCTCTGTCGTTCTTTTTCAGAAGTGACCTGGCCACAAATGGTAGCGAAGCCAAGCGGTTTTTTACGTGGAAATGTATAGCAGCCGAACACTCTTAAATGCATGTTACTAAATGTGGAGGGAAAACTGGAGGAGCCGGAGAGAAGTTCACACGACCACAGGGAGAGAGACACGCAAACTCTAAATATACAGCAACAGGCGTCAGGGTCGGGATCGAATCCACGACCTCCTGCATACCAGGGGCGGTAGTTAACATCTCCTAGCCACCATGACGTGGGAAGGTGAAGGAGTTAGGTGCTCTCCACGACGCCGAGGCACTGCAACACCACCCCTGCCACCCAAACTTTGTAAATGTGTTTTGATTTTGTGCCAATTTAAGGCTTTCAATGGATGTATAAATGAAACCATAGGACTTTGTCCCACAGCAATATATCTTATGTTCCAAATTTTTACTTAAATCTATCACACTTTTAAAAGCAGGCAATTTGCTCGAAAGAAAAACAGTAGAAATCTGTGAAAAAACATCATTTTAATCGTGTATTATTTTCCTGAGAAAATAACGCAACTGTCATGTGATCTTAGTATTTTGGTTATTATAGGCCTCTACTGCACAAAAACAGAACAGATTTTTGCACACGCGGCGACCGGCGCGCGCTGGCCGGAGTTCACGGGACAGAACCAGCAGGAGCCATGGGCTGACTGACTGAGACGACTGGCAAATGCACCAGCTGTGCTCCCCCCCCCCGCTGTTCCAACTCGCCGCGTTTTAACCGCCCGGCGCTCCGCTCGTTGTTGTGAGCGTCGGGAGGCTCCGCTCACCTGGCCGTGGAGCCCGAAGGCCAGGCCCTCGCCAGGCGTCTCCATGGCGACTGGCGACAGGAAGGGCGCGTTGCCGAGCAGCGCCGGGTCGAAGGGCGGAGGTCGGCGCTGGCAAACCTCCATGGCCTGGTAGGACGAGCGGAAGCTGCGAGGATGAAGGAGAAAGAGGTGTGAGCGAGTGACGGCAGGGGAGGTGGGGGGAGGGGGATGGAGTGGGGGGCACGACAACCGTGAAGTTCTTGCTCTGGTGGGGGCGTTTCCACCGGCGTTGGCGAGAGCGAGCGATTGCGGGGTTTAAATACGGACAGCGACAAGAGGCCGCCATCTCCTGCTCGCCCGGCACTCACTACTAACTGCTCACCAATGGCTCAACCACTCATCAATAACCTCTCACCCACCGCTCACCATCACTCACTCTGCACTCATCATCCAGCACTCACTAACCACTTACCAACCGCTCAGCACCACTCACTCATCACTCGTCCACAGCTCACCCATCATTCACGCAGCTACCACTAACCCTTCACCAACCATCCCCACTAATAGAAAGGTGCAGCCCTGCAACTGCTCGCTGGCGGGCGTCCGACAGAGGAATCTCTCGAGGATGTTTGGCCTACTCAGCCACTCCACACTGGCCGGAGGGGGCGGGGAGATACCCAGGCCAGCTGACCACATGCGGCTGGTCGAATCGTGGACGATTCAAATATAAACACAGATTCCGATCCTATATTGTACCCAACCCTAGTGTCATCTTGAAACCGCACACGATCACCCCCCGCGGCTCCCCCGCCCCTCCCCCTCCACTGTGCGCCCCCCTTATCCAGATCCCCCCTTCTCCCCCCCGCCCGATGCCGACACGTCTAATTTGAGTTTAGGATTTTTTTTTCCAAAGGGAGCACAAAGATGACCTTTTGACCTTGTGGTCTGCGATCCCCGAGTTGCTCCGGCACAATCCATTCCCCACTTGGCATGGCCTTCCCTCCCCGTCCCGGCCACATCCGCCCCCCCCCCCCATGCCCCCCTCCCTGTCCCTCCCCACCCCCCAGGGGGCCACCAGCCACCAAAATACTCAGGCGCCGTCTGTGTCAGTCTGGCGGAGCGACTGCCTGGCAGGGGGCCCAAGCGCACGTGGGCCCCACCAGCGGTTGGGGGGGAAAGGAAATGGGGGGTTGGGCGTGAGATTCGACCCCGAAACCAGGGAGAACAATCAGGCACACGCACGGCGGATTCTGTCGAAACGCCGTCCAACGCGAGCGCTCGCACTCACGAGTCCTCGCAGAGTGCTTCATTGGTGGTGATGACGTGTCATTGGGCAATTATTTTATTGGAGAAATGTGTCCGGTTTTCTCTAGGGCGAGTCCTGAACAGCAACAGCACCACTTCCCACGTATGACTAGTGGACTCTGGACTTCGTGCATGGCACACTGAGATCCCTGGATGAATTGCACCTTATTAATGTAATTTATTATTATTATTGTTATCGCCCTCTACAGCCTAGGTCACTCTTTCACAATGGGACTCCTCTTCTGGTCTCTCGAGTTCTCACTTGGTTCAGAAAAATCCACTGGACACACGAACTCACTCACTCACTCACCGACAGACAAACGACATGTGCATGTGTGTGCGTGCGTGCGTGCAAGCACACGTACTGCTGGGTGAGCTGATGCTCGAGCAGGTGGCTCATGGTGAGGAAGGGGTGAGCGAGCACTTCGTGAGGAGTGGCCCTCTGCTCCGTGTCGAGGCGTAGCATGCGGGTGAGCAGCTCCACAAACTCCCGGCGATCACAGCGCTCCGCCAACCCCTCCAGCGCGTCGCACTCCAGCGACGGGTGCAGCTGCGGAAGCACAGAGAGAGAGGCAGCGATGGAGATCCCCCATGCAGCCAGTGCTGGTAGCGAGCACTTTTGGGGCCACGTGAAGTGTCGAACGCCTCCTAACGCCAATTAGCAGGAGGGCACGGGACAGACCCAGGTGCCAAGGGTTGACTGACTGAGGTGATTAGCAGATGCACCACCTGTACTCCCCACTGGGCCAACTTGCTGCATTTTAGCCGCCCGGCACTCCGCTCGTTGTTGTGTCACTCCTCTGCCCTCCACTGTTGCTACTAGAGAGCGATTGCCTCCAACTGCCCAGTAGCATCCTTCACGAGCCTCCTCCACAGAGGCCGATCTTTGACACCGCTGTTACCAGTCATCGGCAAGTCCACTCAGCCCCACATCCTCCTGTACCGCAGCAATGCCACCTCTTCTCTAACGCGTGCCGCGCCCATTTAGCTCTCACACACATCGGCCCACACACACGCACACACATAATCTGCCACATGCACACACACCCGCGCACCTGTGCGATGTCGTCAAGCGAGCTGAAGATGTACTTCCTCGCCTCCTTCGACTTGAGCCCCGTCTCAGCCTCGTGCTCCTGTGGCGTCTACTCAATACACACAAACAAAGAAAAAGATCACCTGTATAGCCTCAACAGACTGTTGGGGCAAAGTGCTGGAAGCGAGTAGCACATTAGGGGGCGATGTCGCTTTGTGTAACCGCGTCACCTCGTACCTTGAGTCTCCACGAGCCGTAGGGCCCGTCCTGCCGGAAGAACTTGCAGGTCTTTGTGGCGATGTTCAGCAGACGGTTCGGGGGGGCGCCTTGCGTCTCCGAGATGTAGCGGATCTGTGCGGCGGAGACACGGGCAGAGACACGCGGAGACACAGGGACATTAGGACACAGAGACACGGCGACATGGGGACACAGAGGCAGGGACACGAATACATGGTCACGTTACTGGGTAGTCACCCAATTGGCTAGTCACCCGACTGGCTAGTCACCTGACTGGGTAACGAGCGAACTCCGAAGTCAAGTGGCCTTCCGAGGAGACGATCAGGAGGAGGAACATGATGACAATGAAGGATGGCGATGAGCGAGGAGGTGGTGACGATGGTGATGATGGTGGTGATGATGAGCGAGGAGGAGGTCCTCACCTGGTCATACTCCAGGGCCCCCGGGTAGAGGGGCCAGCCCAGGTACAGCTCGGCGATGACACAGCCCAGGGACCACATGTCGATGGCCTCGCAGAACGGCAGCCCCAGGATGATCTCGGGGGCCCTGCCACAACCGCAAGCCACAGCACCGCAGCCATTCGTAAATTAACCGCACGGTGATAGCCGTGCTGCGATCCAGCGCTGTGGAGGCAGCAGCTAGGGTTAGTGGATCAACGCGCAGATGCTGTGAAACTCCCTTCCCGTGTGCTTCGGGGAAGAGCCGTACCCTGGTTCTGCCGGAAGGCGGTGAAGCTAAACTGTTCCCCGTCTGTATGGGATAGAGTGTTTCCCCATCGCACACGAGGGTTTTCTCCGGGTTCTCCAGATTCCTTCCACGTGTAAACACTCAGCAATTCGACGATAACACGCAAGAGTGGGGGCCCTGGGGGGCGCGGGCGGTGGCGCAAGGGAGAGGTTGGAGGAAGTGTTGGGGGTAGAGGATTGAGGAGGGGTAGAGGAGTGGGGCCTGGGGTGGGGGGTAGAAGAGTGAGTGGGGGGGGGGGTGCCCGGGGTAGAAGAGTGATTGGGGGGGTCCCGGGTGGGGGGTAGAAGAGTGAGTGCGGGGGGGGGGGGTGCCCGGGGTAGAAGAGTGATTGGGGGGGTCCTGGGTGGGGGGTAGAGGAGTGATTGGGGGGGTCCCGGGTGGGGGGTAGAGGAGTGATTGGGGGGGTCCCGGGTGGGGGGTAGAGGAGTGATTGGGGGGGGTCCCGGGTGGGGGGTAGAGGAGTGATTGGGGGGGGGTCCCGGGTGGGGGGTAGAGGAGTGATTGGGGGGGGGTCCCGGGTGGGGGGTAGAGGAGTGATTGGGGGGGGTCCCGGGTGGGGGGTAGAGGAGTGATTGGGGGGGGGGGTCCCGGGTGGGGGTAGAAGAGTGATTGGGGGGGTCCCGGGTGGGGGGTAGAGGAGTGATTGGGGGGGGGGGGTCCCGGGTGGGGGGTAGAGGAGTGATTGAGGGGGGTTCCGGGTGGGGGGTAGAGGAGTGATTGGGGGGGGGTCCCGGGTGGGGGGTAGAGGAGTGATTGGGGGGGGTCCCGGGTGGAGGGTAGAGGAGTGATTGGGGGGGGTCCCGGGTGGGGGGTAGAGGAGTGATTGGGGGGGGGTCCCGGGTGGGGGGTAGAGGAGTGATTGGGGGGGGGGTCCCGGGTGGGGGGTAGAGGAGTGATTGGGGGGGGGGGCCCGGGTGGGGGGTAGAAGAGTGATTGGGGGGGTCCCGGGTGGGGGGTAGAGGAGTGATTGGGGGGGGGTCCCGGGTGGGGGGTAGAGGAGTGATTGGGGGGGGTCCCGGGTGGGGGGTAGAGGAGTATGGGCTGTGGCGCTGGAGGAGCGAGGGTGGGGTGGAGGGTGGAGGGAGTGGGGGTCGCGGGGGGGTGAAGCTGGCAGCAAAACGCCTGAGCTCGCAGCGCGGGGGATAAGGGGGGGGGGACACCCGAGCCCACGGGGGGGGGGGGCAGAGAGAGCAGAGGGGTGTAACTCACACCAACACACAGTCACACGTGCCCTACACATGCACACGTGTGTGCACAGCGATTCAAACACACGTGTCACACACACGTCACTACGGCGCTTGTGCCAGGTTAGGTGCACCTTGAGGCCATTATGTGACGCGTCAAAGACTCTTTGCTGACAGACCCAGGTGCTATGGGTTAACTGAAATGTCACCCCAAAGACAAAGATCCCCCGTGTAGCCTTAACAGACTGTTGGGGCAAGTGCTGTTAGCGAGCTCCTTTGTTGGCCGGCATGACGCACGAGGGGGTGGGCACTCCCGGCCGCCTTTGTCTCCCCAGCAGGGATGTTTACACACCGCACCAGGCACTAATCAAAGGCTTTGTCAACCTAGGGGAGGCCCAGATAAATCGTCACTGGTGTTGGTGGTCGCCGTGAGCAGGAATCGAACTCGGGTCGTCGGGTTCGTAGCACAGTGCGTTAACCGCTGCACACGCGCACTCCCACACTCACACAGCCCGCTGTGGTGAGTGTGGGAGTGAGACGAGCCGCTTTCCGTGGGAGTGTTGTGGGGGGTGGATTTGGGGTTTTTGGGAGATTTCAGATTTCGGTGTTGAGGTTTTCTGGACTTGTTCTGTTTTTGTTTATCTGCGCTAAGCCAGACAAGACTCACGCGTACACACCACCACGTGCACACACACACCACCACGTGCACACACACACACCACCACGTGCACACACACACCACCACGTGCACACACACACACCACCACGTGCACACACACACACCACCACGTGCACACACACACACCACCACGTGCACACACATACACCACCACGTGCACACACACACCACCACGTACACACACCACCACGTACACACACCACCACGTGCACACACCACCACGTGCACACACACACACACCACCACGTGCACACACACACACCACCACGTGCACACACACACACACCACCACGTGCACACACACACCACCACGTGCACACACATACACCACCACGTACACACACCACCACGTACACACACCACCACGTACACACACATACACCACCACGTGCACACACACACCACCACGTACACACACCACCACGTACACACACATACACCACCACGTACACACACCACCACGTACACACACATACCATATGTACACACATCACGTGCACACATAACGCTCCACATGTAGACAGACACTTCGCGGGTAGCCTCTCGCACACACCCGTGTGTGACAAAGATCCACGAATTGTGAAATAGGCTGTTAGCCAACAAAGACAACATCGACTTTTGGAGTAAATGCTGTTCGCGAGCACCTATAAAGCCCGGCACGGCACACGAATGGGTGGCCAAAACCACGCCCGACCGCCTTTGTCTCCCCAGTGGCAATGGTTACACACCGCACCAGCTATTCATTGGAGGCTGAGTTAACCTAGGGGAAGCCCAGGAACGGTTAAGACAATCGTCACTGGTGTTGGCGGTAAACGGGAATCGAACTTGGGGCCGCCGGGTTTGTATCGAAGCGCGCTAACTGCTGCACCACCGTTCCCCACACACACACGAGGATACGCACACGCGCGTGTGCGCGTAATCGCAGGTCACAGCACCCCATACCAAGTTACACCAACACACCAACACGCACACACGCACGTGCCTATTTATAACACAGCTGCGAACTAATCTCAGCACACACACACGCGCGCGCGCACGCACACAGGCACACACACAGACGCGCACACACACAACAACCGCCATTCGCCACTAAGTGGCGGTGACGTCACCACGACGCTTGTGCCAGGCCATGTACACCTTGAGGCCACGTGAAGTGTCGAACGCCCGCTGGCAGGAGGTCGCGGGGCAGACCCAGGTGCCACGGGTCGACTGACTGAGATGACTGAGATGACTGGCTGATGCACCACCTGTGCCCCCTACTGTGCCAACCTGCTGTGCTTTAGCCACCTGGCGCTCCGCTCGTTGTTGTGAGCGTCGCTCCTCCACCCTCCGTTGTTGTTGGAGGGCGACTGCCTCCAACTGCCCAGTAGCATCCTTCACGAGCCTCCTCCACAGAGGCCGATCTTGACACCGCTGGTACCAATCATCGGCAGAGTTGTCCTTTTTTGTTTGCATTTTGACTGCTTGTGTTGTGGTCATTGCAAACATGATGCCTTGAATAAAGGTGTCAGTTTTTGTGCCAGTTAAAAGGGTAAAACCTATTCCTAAGTCCACTCAGCTCCACGTCCTCCTGTACCACATCACTCCATCTCTTCTCTAGCCCGTGCCGCGCCCGTTTAGCCCCCTCGATCCGGCCGAACAAAAGCTGTTTAGGCATGCGGTGGCTGGGCATGCGGGCTACATGACCCAGCCAACGTAGCCTTGCCTGCCGGAGGAACTCACCGATGGGACCTTGCCCAGATCTTTCAAGGATTTGTGAGCTCCTCATACAATCCAGCCTGGTTAAACCCAGGATGGATCGTAGGCAGGCTAGCCTAAATGTTTCTAACCGGCGAAGATGTTCCATTAGGGGGGTCCACGTTTCGCAAGCGTAGAGAAGGGAGGGAATGACCGTGGCCGAGAAGACCTGAAGCTTCGTGCGGAGCGACAGACCAGGTAGCTTCCACAGCATTACGCAAACGATGAAAAGATTTTGCCGCTCGACTGATTCGGAGTGAGACCTCTGCTGTTAAACTGGAGCCGGTCATAAGCACACTGCCCAGGTATGGGAAACTCTCCACTCTCTCCACAACTGCCCCATCACCGATTGGGAGTTGTGGGGGTGGAGTGTCCGATGGAACAAAATACCCAGGCAGGTGCTTAGTTTTGGTGGGGCTGATGGTAAGGCCCAATCTCTTAGTGGCACGCTCCAGTCTCAGCAGCAGCGTCTCCAACTCCTCAGCTGAATGAGCAGCTATTACCAAATCATCGACATACATAACGTGGTTGAGCAATAGGGAGCCATCCCTTGACCGCACCCGGGCATCGATCAGCCTCCCATTATATCTGTACCAAATGGAGATTCCCCCGGTACAGCTATTGAAGGCTTCACCAACTACGTGGTCAAAATAGATGTTAAATAATGTGGGAGCCAGAGGACATCCCTGTCGCACCCCAAGGTGTACAGGGAATGGCTCTGACTCCCGGCCACGTAGTTTTACCCGGGCCCGCTCACCATCATGAAGGTTCTTAATGATCGTGAGCAGAGGGTCAGGGACTCCAAAAGCACGAAGTACAACCCAGAGCCCAGGCCTTGATCAGGTCAATAAAGCAGAGATGTAGGTCTTGCTGGAATTCCCTACACCTCTGCTGTAGCAGACGGACAAAAAATATGGCATCTGTTCAGGACACACACAGACATGCACACAGACACACATAGGCACACACACGCGCATACACACACAGGCACACACGACGGCCTCAACACTAACAGCGAGGTGAAACGCACGCGGTGTGGGGGGAGTGGGGAAGGTGGTTGTTGTTGTGTGGTTGTGGGGAGAGTATTTGTTGTGTGGTTGTGGTGGGGGAGTGGTTGCTGTTGTGTGGTTGTGGTGGAGAGAGTGGGGAGGGTAATTTATGTTGTGTGGTTGTGGTGGGGGTGTGGGGAAGGTTGTTGT